ATTCCTACATCCGGCCGTCCTTTCCCGTAGAAAAACGGATATAGAAAACAGATAATATTATACGAAACAATTATTTTGATTTCGATTCAAAACATATTTTGAACTCCTTCATATATTTATAGTACCTAAAGACATCATGGACGCATAATATATAATATCGAATACGCATACGGTTAGTGGTTACGGTATAAACCGCGAAAATGATTGATTGTTTGCGATGCGATTATATTATACGTACCTACGTGTATTTTTCCAAATCATTTTAAAGTGAATTCACTTATACGATGATCGCGGTTCGGGCGTTTTTTATTTATATGCTAATTGATATTCGGTTGTTTCCTTATTGCAAAACGACGTATCCATAATATTATTGTACATGTAATAATATCAACTGAAATAGTATTTACAAATAAATGTGTGAGTATGTATATACAGTGTTTCCAACCATATTTGACGGATTTTTCTAGCTCTATTAATATTAAATATTTTTCAATTTTTTTTTTCAAACGGTTTGCCTTCGAGGGGGACATCGATTTGGAAAAAAATTAATTTTTATATTCATCCCCTAAACACAAAAAAAAAAAATTAATTAACTTAATATTTATTCACTTAATACAATTTTCAAAGTACCCATTTTATAAAAGACATTATTCTAAAAATTGTAATTTATCACACGTTCATAACCGATGAATAGTTTCTAAGTAATAGCCGTTTTAATTTCTAGGAAAAATGTGTGAAAACAATTAATGTTCAATAAATTACAATTGCGATAAGAAATTACCGTGCGGCGATTGTGATTATTATTGAATATTAATAATTTATTTATTAACAAATTAAAAACAATAAAAACGGTAAAGCAGTGCCATAAATATTTGCCATTTTACCGATAATTTTCTTTCGGGGTTTTCCCAATTATTTCGATAACCCCTCCAAAAATCAAAAAAAAATGACCTGTTTTACGTATCAAATATACAAAATTTCCTTTAAGAAAAGGTACTAATACTCTAAATATCGGAGCAAGATTTCTTTTCGAAAAGTTGTTTTACAATCATGAAAAAAAAAAAGCACGCATCATAGTAAAACCAATAGATCCCTCGTTAAGCTCCGAATCTAAAATCATATATATATATATAGGTATCTACTATTTTAAATATGTCTCAAAAAATAGAAAAAAAAAAACCAAATAAAAATTAATAGACTCTGTCGAGAAAGTAGACACGCAAAACGCATTCGAATGTTTAATACAAAAGTGAGTGTAACAATCAACACACGAGATGAAAAAAAAAGATTAAACATGATACGAATAATGACCGATGTTTCCTGCGTGTACCTACTGTTTAGATCGAATAACATTACAGTTTAATTTAAACTAGGTAGGTACCTATGTAATTATGATTATGATATAGTTGTTACAAGAAATTATGATGAAGTATATATGGACATTAAGGCAATTATTTTCTGTAGAATCAAATTTATGCGCGATATTTTGGTCTTGCTCGAGAAAAAAAAAACAAATAACAGTCAAACATTGCGTATTTTGATAAAAAAAAAAAAAAAAACTTAATAATTATACATTCTACAGGATATCATTTATGGGGACCCGGAGGTGAAATTTATGGGGTGGGGGAACAGCCTTAATTTTTATAAAAAATCAAACGCTTTTATAAATGTATTGTATATTTTAAAAATACCTATTATAATAAGTAATATTGAATTTTACATTGAACACAAATTGTAAATTTATTTTATTTTTACCAAATTCTTTCCAACAACATTTTCTACTAAATTAAGTTCTTCTACTTTTTTCCTAGATAACCTTAAAATACGCATAATCCGGTTAAACGATTTTCACGCATTAGTTGACCGCAGATCAGCTATCCACAAATGATCGGCTATAGTGGTTGGTACCAAGTTCAAATCGTAAGGCATAAATCTGGGCATATTGTGATAATAAATTAGCGGAATTCTGTTATCACGAAGTATACCTACCGACTAAGCACCGACAAGGTGTATTGACAAATAACAATACACCTTGGTACCAATAACGGATTTTGAAATTTTGAGATATTGAATTTGAAAATAATTATTTTAACTTGCTGGAAAGCTAGGGAGGAGTTGTCCCTCTGCCCCCCCCCCATTGTGGGCGCTTTTGCTATCATTCTGGTTCAACCACCGATGTATTATAAACGCTTTAGGGAATGGAACGCAAAGTGATAATAAACAAATGTATACATGATACCTATGTTCTGCAAGCTAACGTGCAGGATTTCTTAATGAGGGGAAGGGTTCAAAAAAATATTTACCATCTCATAATTTTCTAGCCGTGGTTTTTTGAAAACTTTCGAATGTTTATTTCGATGTTATTGTCAACGGTGTGGTTGCACAACTAACGTCCTCATTCTGAGCTCACAATCATTGTTTATGATTATATGAGCCACTTTTAATATATTATCCATTATCGTGTACTATTCGTGTGCCATTAATATTAACGTGTATGTTCTATACATAAATTCTGTTGTCATAACGAACGTGACGGTATCACTATAATAGCGATGCATCATTATGTTATACAGGAAGGCACAAATAAGATCATAAAATATTTAATATAATCTATCAAAACATGCAAAACCTTATTTATTTTTTTTCGAAAATGGGAGAGGGTTGAACTACCCATATTGGTCCCCCTTGCGCATGGACCCGATGTCTTATATGTTTACAAATGTGTATGAGAAATTGTTATTACGATAAACGGCCAGTCATTTTGGTAAAACTAGAGAGGAAATTGTGGTGGTTAGCCACTTCAAAACTGACTCAAGCCAAACGAATCAAGTAAATACTAAATTTAATACTTGTCAGCCAGACTCGGACTTTGAAACAAAATATATCGTTAAAAAAACAATTCAAATAGCCAAATAAAGAGGGAAAAAAATTAAATTTTATATATAAGATTGAAAAACGAATTTACAAACATATATTTAGTCAATTTATTTTCATTAAAACTTATAGCCTATCGGATGCTTTCATTTTTTTTTTTTTTGTATATTAAAAAAGATCTTTATATACAAGACGATTTGTTTAACGTAATATACTCAATATTTTTCGAAATAATGACTTTTTTGAAATTAATTACTTTTGATTTTAAAATGGTAACTTGTATTAAAAAAGCTACAAATAAATAATGGTGTACTGAAGTTTGTAGTTTAAATACATTTTGTTATTGAAATTTGAATGGAAAATTCTTATTTATGTACACACGTGAATTTAATGTCCGTGTTCTCGTGTTTTAGTGTTATTCAGCTATTTACGGATATTAACCGTTCGTTATGTGATATCTAGGTACTACAGTGCAAATAGAAATGAGGGATGACCGGTTCTTTACGTTCTGTCAATGTTGAGTCAATAAACTGATTATTATTATATGTTAGGAATTCGGTATACTTGCTTAATGATTATAATAAAATACGTAAATACGCGAAAGCGTGTAATAGTGAGCAGTTTTTTACAAAGACATATACAGTTTACAAATACTCACGCTGTGAGGGTGTGCAGGCAAGTTCTCTACTATACCCCATCATTGCGTAAATCTTAATATTGCTAACTTAAACCTAATGCCCCCGAACCGTATAGTATCGCCGGCCCGATTCAGGAAACCAGCCGGACTGTTCCGCCTTTCCTCTCGGCGACCCGGTTGACAGAACCCGCCGGTCTAAAATATTATCTCCTTGGAATATATTATTATACGTATACGCCCGCAACTGGTGAAAATAACTGAAAAAAAAAAAAATAAGAAAAAGAAAAAAAAATGTTCGATTATTATTGTTATAATATTACCTACTGTCTAGACTCTCGACTGCAGTAACAGTTTAATAATAATAATATGTACAACCGAATACAACAACAAAAAAAAAAAAAAAAAAACAACGATGATAAACAATATTTTCTGACATAATAAAATAGGTACCTACGACCGTTTCACTTTTACTTTTAACGCGTCTAGCGCGATTTATACCTATGTCGTACGAAATCCATTATCAATTAAAAATTTCGCCTACACAACGCTGCGCGAAAGAGAGGGTAGAAAATGTTGACTTTTATTATTCGTTTATTATTATTATTATTATTTATACCTATTGCATACGTTATATTATTGTATGCGCGAGTATACTACCTACTTATACGGTATGGCAATTTACACGCCGCTATAATATTATCATCTTATATACGCTGCAGCTGTATACCCAGGACGAATTTTATTATTTCGCGCCAACAGAAATCGAAATAATTTCCGAACATTCGATTCCCGTTACTGACCATACTCTCATCGTTTTTACAACAACACTATTATTATTATTATTATCGTTTGCCAAACACGGCGGCCGCAGTCACTTTCCGAACAAGATAATGCCGTATTTTACGAAGTACCCACTAAAATGTTAGCGATCATAATCCATTGATGAAATCGATCGACGCCGTATTATTATTACGGACACGGACGGTTTGGCACTGTCCGGTTTGGCGCCGTATTAAAATTTAAGTGAATTTGAAAACATTTATTACAATGTGTGTACAATGTATATTTGTAAAAAAAAAATCAACATATGTAGTAAACATTTGTAGTTGGAATATTTTTACCCGAGACGAAAACACGTTGGTCGAAAAGAAAGGTCGTGCGTTATTAATAATATTTTAATATTCGGAAGATAGATATGGTTAAATTTTATGTTAGAACGGTCGAATGATTTGCTGTTGGCACATTCAGTGGAAGTCCTTCGTTGTTTTCGCAAGTGTTCATTGTTTTTACAGAAATAATTCACTGACCAAACAAAAATCGTGAAACTTATCGAAAATCGTTTGAAACGTTAATCGATATATTATAAATTCTGGATTATTACTCCCGTTCTATTCAAAATCGATTTTGAAATCGCTACTATGTCTACAATCAAAGAAGTGATTCCTTAAATTAACAAACACGGAGGTGATCATTTGATAGAACATTCTAGGAAAAAAATAGGGGACACAGAAATAATCTCAAATTTAAAAAATGTTGATAATTTTTACTGTAATGGTAAAAATGATTGTTTCACTAATTTTCACACATTTATACCAATTGAAGATCTGGACGTAGCAAGAGATTCACTTGCTGATGAATTACCTGACAAAATTACTCCATTACTCAAATGGTTCGAAAAACCATTATTATGTAGAAAGACAAATTCAAAGAAAAGTGGGTCGTCATCACTACAATTTCCTCCAGAAATCTGGAATGTATATCAACGGGTGCTAACCTATCGAAATCGTGCGAACAACTATGTTGAAGCTGCTAATAGGCATTTAAATGTTCAAATGTTTGTAACTAATCTAACAATATGGTCGTTTGGAAACTTATTAAAAAAATACAGTCTGGAAGAGATGTTTTTGAACAACTGGTTACTGGTGGAAGCCCACCTAAAAAAAAAAAAAGGAAACATATACATTGATAACGATAAAAGAACTCTTAAATCTAATTATGATAAAAATAAAATAATTTTGTTTTTAAAAGGACATGCAAATAATGTTTCATTAGGATAACCATTTTTGATGTAATCATTATATGATATTTTGTCATCAATTTACTAATTAAATTTGTATACCTAATGTACTACTAATATTACTAATTTCAAATTCACTGTAATGTTATTTTATATTATATTCACTTTTTATAAAACATATATCAAGTAAACTTGAATAATATTGCACGTTAACATAACGCTACAAGATAAATATAATTATTTTATACAAACAATCTGTTATCGAAATGTAAGTAAAGTAAATCCGATCGACGACCGCGCCAAAAAGGCCAGCGCCGAAACGGCCAACTAAACCGATATTGTTATTAAATGGGTAATGAAATTTCACAGACCGATTTATTTATTTTTTTCTAATAGCTTTTAATTCTTAAAAATCGACGAAGCTCTTTCGCCGCTCGTGGACTCGTAATACGGCCTTGAGCAACAAAACAATATTAAGAATTATTACATCCAAATGATATAGGTATTCTCTATAATATAATATAAATACAATTATACTGATTGCTTAATTAGTAACCGAAGCAGCAAAAGTATTAATATTATCTCACATCAGAAACATTAGATAATAATTTATGATCAACTTAATATAACATTGTGAAATTGGTTCGTTACGTGAATACTGTGTTATTGCCATTTTTCACGGCATACATTGGACGATGCGTAATTTGAAACAGAAATCGAAATTACTAAAACTTTTTCCAAAAAATTTCTTTTTATACATATCTTTATATATATCTTAATGAACAAAATCAAATGTCGTGTTTTTTGGCTCGAATGATCTTGGAAAGTATGTTTCCAATTTAATGTTATACAAGAGATTATACATTGTAATAATGAATATTTAAACAGAGGATAAGAGAGAGAAAAAAAATATATAATATACAATAGATAGATATAAGTTTAACTAATATTCATTATTGTATAATTAATTTATAACTTAATTCAATCGAATGAAAAATCAAAATCAGGTACGTTATTGTTATATGCATCTAAAAGGCGATACTCCGGACTACGATTAATTAAATTGTTGTTGAACCTTGTGGTATTATAAAAGGGCGATTATTTCTCGCATCGAAAGTCAGAATTTTAAAATTTATTTTACTTAGAAACTCTGGGCAGGATAGTTCACTATTTATTAATTTATGAACGAAGCTATGTTATTATATAATCTTCTAGAGGCCAGTGATTTTAAACCAAATTCTATAGCCAAGATATCTAGGGGAACGTCTATTCGACCTGATTTGTACCCATGCTATCATCCTTAAAAAAGCGTCGTTGGATTTTTTTCAAGTGTGTCAATTAGGTAATTTTGTTTAGGATTCCGAATTATTGACGCAAATTCTAATATAGACCTGACAAGAGAGCAACATAATACTTTGGAACAGTTTTCATTGATTTTTGTGTTATCTAGTTGACTACGTGGCGAAAAACCATGACCAATATTATTATAAATTACTGCTATAGTAAATTACAAAGAAACAAACGTCGCGCTAAAACCTAAATACCTCGCTATGCCCAAAATTTAAAAGAAAACCACACACGTCATATTAATATCGAATAAATAAGTTATAAATACTCAATAATTGTTTACGAGGAATATTTAACAATATAAAATATTTTTTATATATATTCATTAACATGTTATATTTTGGCCGAATAAAAAAAAGGTTGATAACCGCCGGACTATACGAGTGGGTTTTTTTTTTATCACGTGTATAATTATAATAATGAAGTAAGTATCTATAAAGGTCTATTTTCAGAATTTATTCGATCGGAGAAACCAGATACCCGTCTAAGATCCGCAGATCGCTATCGCGCGTGCAACAACACCTCTGAGATTCAAAGTTAACCAAGAACATAATATAAGGTAGGTAATTTATTTCTTGTTTTATTTTTAATGAATTGTATGTTTGAATTTACGAACGGTATTATACTTGTTTACAGCTCTGCATGCGGTTTATCTATACACCTGATCAATATAAACGAATAAACGATATATATTCAATTATAAACGGAAAACTACAATATAAACTATGCGTAAGCTATAACCTGACCCATAAGTCTTGTCGCGAAATAGGAATTTTACTAGTTCGAATTTTTTTTATTTTTCAATCCTCTTAAAATTATTATATTTCAATATTTCAATATTTCAATTACATTTTATTTCAAACAGTACTTGAAAAGTATTTACCCAGATGGTCTAAACAAATCACACTATACCTATTGTGCAACCTATATATCATCGCGTTATTACAGTGTAAAATACGAAACCAATGAAGTTTTTGAAAATATCTCTCGTCTCTCGAATAAAAATGTATACCATACAATATTGTGCCGAATCTAAAAGACTTATCAGCTCAAGTAGCTTAACACAATGCCATTAAATGTTTATATTAGTATGTATACTGAACTTCCATCAAATTCATATACGATTTGAAATAAAACGTATACGACATATTATGTACCAGCTAGATATATTAATCAAAATATTTAATAAGTAAGCCGGTGGTGTGAGCAAGGAGGGGAGGTTAAGGGTTATATCCATCCCGGTTTGGCTTTTTAATACAGCAACTGTGATTATTTATTTAGTGATTTAATCTTGAAATTATATATTTTAACCTAGTTACAAACTTGAAAAACTGTATCCATATAAAATCAAATAAAGACTAAAATAAAATACATGAAAATGTCAAATACCTATAAGCATCTCGAAAACTTTCGGAATGTTTCGAAAACTATATCGCGTTTAGAAAGAACAGTGAACAAAATGTTTAAAAAACGCACATCGCCGTCGCGAATCTAAAAAAATATTGAGTAAACGGCCAAGACCACACACTTAGCGTATAATGCGAAAAATGATTAACAGTCTATAATGGACTGACCTAAGGTAAAACGATTCAATCGCAATTAAATGTATTTTAAATATATCGACGAAAATCGATCACAACGCGTGTACCTTAGAAATTTGAACACCCACCGGTTATCGGCATCGTGCAAAATAATAGTGATGGATAATAATGACGAGTTGTTTTTTGTTTTTTTTTATTTTGTTTATTGATAGCTTAACTTTATTATGATGTTTTATGCAAATAGACATTCGTATATACGCATTCCAAGGTAACGCTGCGGGTGTTTGAACATAGGCGTAAATTATTTTCACTCGGAGTTTAATTCGTACTAAATTCAAATTCTAAAAAAATAAATAATAATAATAAATAATGTTCTCACGTGTAATTAAAATAAAATCGGACGTATAGTTACATATTATTTTAAATTGTTTATTATAATACACAAACATCGCGTATCATAATAATGTATCGGCGGAGGTTTTACGATGAATATAATAAATGTTGTTTTCCATTTAATTGTACCATTAACATACGAATATTAGCATAAAAGTATTATTATATCGATATGTTAACATCGAGTCAGTCGTACAGATAAATACGTTATAAGACTTAACGTGCGAGTACGTAATGTAAATAATAAATTTAAAAAGAATTTACATTATTTTTTCTGCCGGCGAACAAGTTTTCGTTTTAGGATTCTATATAATATTATTATCATTATACCATCCGATCCGAAAAATTCAAACTATTATCGCAACCGCGAACATCAGCCCCTCACCTCTCCCGTCACTCCATTCAATGACCCGCCGTGAACCCGTTACATCCTTGTTGAAATGTGTATAATATCAAAACAAAACAAAAAAAAAAATTTAATACACATATGAACGTAAGGTTGAGAATCTATATACTTTTCCGGAGAGTATACAAAACAACATACGTATTTGTGTGATTAAATTTCATGTTTTTAGTGGTTAATCTTTTAAGAGGGGATCATAGAGAGGATTCATCTGCGGAATAAGTAAAATAGTTGTTATTTTTAATGTGTGATTTTTCTGTTTAAAATATAATGTTTAACTTATGGCATAGTTACAAAGGGAGTGCTTAAAAATCTCGGTTTTAAAATACTTGGTACTCCCAAAATTTGCATAATATAATTATGGTTGAACCTTTCGATATCTTTTGATAATAACGCGAAACATATTCTTTAAATGTCAAATTGTTGAGATTTTTATGCGTGTTAAAAATTAGTTAATGATTATTGGAGTGGTGGAAACCCTTCTCGGTTAACTATCTAAAACTAAAAAAAAAATGATTAAATGTTACTATAGTATAAAGTAATACGTACTGTTGTAGTCAATATATTATACGTCTATGGGGTTTTTTTCCAGATCTTATCATAATCAACCAACAATTTTTTGTTCCGTTATTTATTTTGAATCCTAACCTTTCTCAGATTGTGTTGTAAAAAATACTATTTAATCTTTTTTGATTTTATAATATTCATGAATTATAAAAAAAAAAGAACAAAATATTTCGCCAATCAGCAACCCAAGAAACAGCTGTACATCTGAAAGATTGATAATGAATTAAAAAATGAACAATTTGAAACGTCTGAAGCTTTAAATTCCAAAATATTTTGTTTCCAGATTTTGGGGATCAATTTACCAGTAGCTAACTCGCGAGCAACTTAAAAAATAAACTTAAATATAAAATAAATAATTAAATAATCACATTTCCAAAGTGCTTAAAAGAATAAAAGATTATTTTATTGCAAAAAATAAAATAAAAATGTTTTTGTACTATTTTTGTGTTTTAAATGTATTTAAAATGGTTAAGCGCAAAAAGTGTGCATGTATGACAATTTAAGACGGCTACAAATGATCGTGTTAATTTTTAGAAAATATCGAGATGATTAATTTTTAAAAAGATGGATAATAACGTGATCTATTCATTTTTATGCCTAGGTTCTTCCCAGTCTTGCCTAGACAGTTTCTTTTTACACCTTCTGTGAAATTTGTTTTTATAGAGACATGTCCCCACCATGTCGGCCATTAGTTATTCATATTTTCTCTTACTAGTCTACAAAATTTATTTTAACTTTACGCTGTAAAAATAAGGACGTAGCCATAGTAAGTGATAAGGAAAAGGGGAG